GAATGACAGTTGTAAACAAAAAAAAAGGATCGTATGACTTTATTCTCGTAATATTAAGACTTTATTCTACGTTATTCTCGTAATTTTATGGCTTTTAATTTTTTTTTCTTAGCGTGTCAATGGTTTTTTTTTTGTTGTTTTTTTTGCGTGGCCCTAAAGCTCCGTCATACCTAAAGGCAAAGGTGGATGATAATGTTTTCCCTATGTCTCTGTAAATGTGTTCATGTGTCTGTCCATTATCAAAAAATCTCTGAAACCACTGCACAGAATTTAATGAAACGGGTAGGAAATAACCATTAGATGTACATTAAATAATTCCAAATCAGGATAACCACCTTAATGGACTGTTAAACACAAAAATGACTTTAATCAAGCCAAGTTTGCATTTACCGTATGTGGTAAAACCTGGCGCACTATAAGGTGCACTTAAAATCCTTTAATTTTATCAAAAATCGACAGTGAGCATAAAGACACATAAAGACACTGTCTTTATGTGGTACAACTGAACAATGTGGAGCGTTATTGTGAATGAGCTGAATAAAGTTGGGCTTATCTGACTGTTTTGTTTCGCTTAATGCGCCTTATAATCCGGTGCGCCTTATAGTCCGAAAAATACGGTATTACATCAGAATTTGGTGTGGTAGAAGCTGAGTTGTTCATAACGCATACTCTGAGCATTATTTTCAAGGTTTGACCAAAATGGCTGCAACTCCATCATTTCTCAGCGTATGAGGATTTAACTAAAACTCGTAGATGAAAGATCATATGCATTTCTTCAGAGAGCTTGACCTTTAATTTTAGCTGTTTCAAACATAAAAAACCCAAAGTCTATTAAGTTATTTAGCACCAATCATTTACTACTTCGTCCAATTTTTAGAGCCACGACCCACTTTGGTATTACTAAGAAAACTAAATACAGAATCAGTGATGACATTAGAGGCTGAGTGAGTCAATAGATAAAAGGTCTGATGATGAAGCTGTGGTCTGAGCTCTGCTTCTACGGTCCTCTTTCAGATGAACCTTCACAAATCTGGACTGTATGAAGTTTAATTAGGAGTGGCTGCTGCTGCAGGCAAATGTTTTTCACTGAAAAAAAAAAGACTTAGAGGAAGTAAAAATGAAAGTCTATGCTTTTAGGTATTAAAATGATAAAGAGGAAGTGATTGAGGGAAATTATAAGCAAACAACAAGAAGAGTAAGAAGGGGGACAAAGGCGATTGGTCTGAAGATGCAGAAGGAGAGGATGAAGGAATGCAACAAAAAAAAAACGTGATAGAAATGTCGATTTGCAAACGCAGTTGGACAAGGGGGGGGGGGGGGGGGTTGAAAGTACAGGGAGTGAGCGAGAGAGAGAGAGGGAGAGTTCTGAGAAGCTTCAGATGGAACTGCAAATCACAGTCAACCAAGAAATGATTCCCGGACCACTGAGAGCCGGTTGCCATGGAAACGTCATCATTGCAGGCACTGCTTTAATCTGTGGAAGCTTGTTAAGTTAACATGAGGCTTAAGGCAGCCACCTTATGCTTCTGTACTCACAACACGACGCTGTGCCAGGACTGTTGCTGCTCGCTGCAAACAAGATGTCTTCACAAATGTTTCTGTTGTTTTTTTTTTTTTAGAAGACTCTTTTCTTTATAGTTGCGTTCTTTTGTTCTTTTCTTTTAGCATAAGTACTGGTTTAAAAATGTTCCGACTCTGCTGTTTGGAAACACCCATCCCCCCAAACCACTGTGGGAGCTGACTCTAATTGTATCAATTTAGGAGAGAAGTGGCAACGTGATTCTGATGGATTAGACAAGAGTGAAAAATCAAACTTGAAGAAAGGTCTGGGAGACGGGAGTGATCTTTTACTTTGTACACTGCGATTGGGTTAAGGGGCAACCCGAGTACACGACTCCACTGTTGACTGTCTAAATGGACGAGGCTTTAACGTCCAGCAGCAGAGCGGTCATTCTTCCAGTCACACAAGCAGCTCAGTCCTGACAGTGGGGTTGTTATGTTTAAGATTGGATTTGCATCTCAAATCAGATATCAGCTGGTTCGCTCCAGTCATCCTGCAGAATCAGCAGCATTAATAGTATTCACTGTGGGACATGAGACGATAATAAGCCTGCCTGCTTAATGATTACAGCGCCACAAAGCTGCATACAATGAGACCAAGAGATGAATTTAAGTAGGATTTACAAGTGCGTAGATGAAGCCTGCAGAAAAGGCATAGTTCTGTTTGTTGCTCTCATGGATTGTGTAGATGAATAAAGACACTGGAAAAGTTAGACAGAATGGAGAGGCGCATCCAAGTCAGATTCCAGGAAGCCTGCTTGGACCAGATAGCTGAGACATGTGAGGTGCTGACATCCGGTCCAGCATTAGCTGCAAGATGACAGTGTGATGGATGGAGGCAGCGTGAGTGAGACATCAAGGCTTTAACCTAAAGATTGTGAGAAGCTTTCATCAGCTAAAGTGTAGTACTTAATATAGATTAACAAATAAAATAAATTGACCAGTGAAGCCAAACTGTAGCACATCCCTCAAAGAAAAAACGTCTGTTTATTGAATACAGTATGATTACCTTCAGGCGAGGTTTACATCTCATTAATAAATTTAACATACTGCTTGTAGGCGTGTATTGATGTTATATTCTGTTGCTGTAAGCAAAATCTAAAAAATAGTCATGTTTAGAGATTCAAAGCTAGTTGGCAGCATGATGGATCAGTGGTTAGCACTGTTGCCTCACAGCAAGAAGGTCCTGGGTTCAATGCCCGGTTGGACCTGGGGTCTTTCTGTGTGGAGTTTGCATGTTCTTCTCATGCTTGCGTGGGTTTTCTCCGGGTTCTCCGGTTTCCTCCCACAGATCAAAAACATGCATGTTAGGCTGCCTTCAGGCCCAGGCCTCCCTTGCACAAGATGCACAACGGGATTTGCCTGGTTAAATAAAGATTAATAAATAAAAAAATAAAAGACATATAGATCATTGGTCCTCATAAAATACTAAGCTTCAAATACCACAATTGTGGCAGCTTGGACTCATTTTTGAACAGATCAAAAATCTGACGTAAACAAGCAAATTGATCAATCTACAATGCTCCTAACTCGAACCTTAAAACCAGACCTGCTTCTTAATCCCAACCTTCACCCTTTAACTAGATCTATATGCCAAGGGACACACCCTGTAGACTGATAAACCTCTGATGAGTCTTCCTTCGGTGACGGTGTTTATGATAAAGCTTGAATCGCCCCTTAAATTGAACGTCTAACACAGAGAATGTGTTCCAGATTTCTAACAACAAAACTAAAAAATTTTTGATCACTAATCCTGCACATTTTCGTCTTCTCATAGCTGTAAAATTGATCTATAAATATGATATTTGAAACTTCTGCTACTGTAGTACTTTTCCTGACTATCTTGATCACGGGAAGCCATTTTGCTGCCGTGTTTGCCACTGGACCATCGTCCCTGTTGCTACGTCATTAGCCGTCAGCAGATTTTGCATTGCATTTCATTATTTTATATGTTTTATTTTAGTTAATATTTTATAAAAAATAAAAAAATAAAACAGCTCAGCAATTGTCAATAAGTGTCTGAGTTGTATTTTACTGCAAAAAATACCAACATTTTGCACGGGGCTGCATAGTGTTGAGATCTGGGCTGTACTGGTTTTACCAATCTTTGCATTTTAGCCACCAGGCTGAGCAAAGGGATCTTCATTGACATGTAACAGCTGTGTCTTGCCTTAGACTCTCTCTTTCAAAGTAGTTTCAAGTTTGGGCTTGTTTAAGATCATTTATTGAGAACAATAAAAATAATGCAATTAAGATAAGATTGTGGTTTAAATTGCGTTACTGAGAACATCACTGCATATAGACATACTGTGGTTATAGCTCTTCTTATAATACGTGTTATGTTGTCATCATTGTATGTTCCCATACAATGATGGCATTCGTTCTCTGCATTTAACCCATCACAACTAGGATACACCCAGGTGGAGCAGTGGGCAGCTATGTAGGCGCCCGGGGAGCAGTTAGGGATTAGGTGTCTTGCTCAAGGATACCACGACATGTGGGAATGGCGGGAAGTCAAGCCTGCGACTTTCTCATCCCAAGTTGGCTGCCCTGCCTCTACGCCATCTCGGCCCCCGGGGTTCTTCTGCTCCACGACAAAAGAACCCAAATTTGTTAAAAGTTTAATCCATTTTCCGTGCACTTTTGCCACTTTTGGTGCTAGCAGGTCTTAAAGACATTTAGCCACTTGCACATCGGTTAACTATCACTCTCTCTAGTTTTCACAGGGGTTCAATTAATTATCAAGTTCCTGCAATTACCATTATACATGTACGTATATGCAGTTTTTAAAAATGCATAGAGTTGCTACCCATTTTAACAAACAGTCGCACAATGCAAAGCTACTAAATGTCAACGGTTGGACCTCAGGGTACATGTTTTTTCAGAGTGCAACTGCATGTGGACATATGATTGTAGGAAACAGTGCAAATAGCAATTTAAACAACTATCCTCTGGACATAGAAAAGCCCTTATTCCTACTGTCTGCAGCAAGTGTCCCTTCATTCTGCTCAACACTGAACATTAACATGCTGAATAGGCACTTCTCTAATTAACCCAAGTGTGCATGTACAAAAACAAAACACTTCAGAGACATTCTAATCTTCATTGTTGTAGTCGACAGACTTGTAATTTTTTTTTTTTTTTTCGTAGAGTACTGAAATATTTGCTCCTTAACAAATTACAGAATGCTTCATAATTTATATTTATAACATATTCAAGAGCATCAGTTTGCACTGTGGGAATAATGTAGACAGATTCAGGTTATAGTGAGAAAGTCAAGAAGAGCCATAGTTGGCAGATAAATTCATAGATTTTTTATTTTTTATTTTTTGGAGCCATGGAAACATTGCATTGTGATATCATTTGACGTTTTATTTATTTTCATTGGTGGAAACCAGCTTCCATACACTGCACAGCTAATTTTCCGTCTTTTTTTCCAGATGTAGACACCACCAAGAACCCTTGTCAAAAGGTTAAGTGCAGCCGACACAAGGTGTGTATCGCCCAGGGCTATCAGAGAGCCGTGTGCGTCAACCGCAAGAAGCTTGAACACAGGTGAGTAAGAACTGCTTAACTCCTGCAAACACAGAAGTCCCTGTCTAAGTCACTGACACCAGGTCAGCGCTGCTAGTTTACACTGGTTGTCAGACAGGATTGTGTTGCGCTGCAGGCCAGAATAATGAAGCTTGTTTGTGCATCCGAATGGTTTGACTCCCTGCTGTTTAATGAGAAGCTAATGTATTCAGACAACATGGAGGAGACTGTTTGCGTCATGCTCTCATGCTCAGCTTAGAGCTGCTGTGTCTGAATTATCGCAGCAGTGGCTGTCTCAGCTGGACATAATGAGGCTGAAGTGTTTGGATGTTCTCTGTCCAACAGACTGAAGCAGCCCACTCTCCACTCTCCTAATGGAAACTGTCAGCCCTGTCCCATCTCGTCCACCGGGCCTGTGTGTGGATCGGACGGACACAACTATGCCTCAAAGGTACAACTAAAACAAATTAATACCTGTGGAGATGGGAAATGATGTTATATAGTTGTGGTTTTTTTTTTTGGCTACTTACAGTATTTAGTGGCTCTGAAATCGTCCTGGTTGTGGAACACTGGACCAGCTCTACACTCTCAGCAGGGTCCTGGAGGGTGCGTGGGAGTTTGCCCAACTGGTCTACATGTGCTTTGTGGACTTTGAGAAGGCGTTCAATCGCGTCCCTCTGGGAACCCTGTCGGGGGTACTCCGGGAGTATGGGGTACCAGGCCCTTTGATACGGGCTGTTAGGTCCCTGTATGACTGGTGTCAGAGCCTGGTCCGCATTGCTGGCAGTAAGTCGGGCTTGTTCCCGGTGAGAGTTGGACTCCACCAAGGTTGCCCTTTGTCACCGATTCTGTTCATAACTTTTATGGACAGAATTTCTAGGCGCAGACAAGGTGTTGAGGGGATCTGTTTTGGTGGCCTTAGGATTGCGTCTCTGCTTTTTGCAGAGGATGTGGTCTTATTGGCTTCATCGGGTCGTGATCTACAGGTTTTGCTGGAGCGGTTCGCAGCCGAGTGCAACACAGCCGGGATGAAGATCAGTTCCTCCAAATCTGAGGCCATGGTCTTGAGCCGGAAAAGGGTAGAGTGCCCTCTCCGGGTCAGGGAGGAGGTCCTGCCCCAAGTGGAGGAGTTCAAGTATCTTGGGGTCTTGTTCACGAATGAGGGAAAAATGGAGCGTGAGATCAATAGGCGGATAGGTGCAGTGTCTGCAGTGAAGCGGGCGCTGTACAGGTCTGTCGTGGTGAAGAGAGAGCTGAGTCAAAAGGCGAAGCTCTCAATTTACCGATCAATCTACGCTCCTACCCTCATCTATGGTCATGAGCTTTGAGGGGGGGCCGAAAGAACGAGATCTCGGATACAAGCAGCCGAAATGAGTTTTCTCCGCAGGGTGTCTGGGCTCTCCCTTAGAAATAGGGTGAGAAGCTCAGTCATCCGGGAGGGACTCAGACTAGAGCCGCTGCTTCTCCACGTCGAGAGGAGCCAGTTGAGGTGGCTCAGGCATCTGGTTAGGATGCCTCCTGGACGCCTCCCTGGTGAGGTGTTCCAGACACGTCCCACCGGGAGGAGACCCAGAGGAAGACCCTGGACATGCTGGAGGGACTATGTTTCTCAGCTGGCCTGGGAACGCCTCGGGACTCCCCCGGAGGAGCTGGTCCAAGTGGCTGGGGAGAGGGAAGTCTAGGCCTCCCTACTTAAGCTGCTACCACCGCGACCTGACCCCGGATAAGTGGAAGAAGATGGATGGATGGATGGATGGATGGATGGATGGATGGATGGATGGA